GACAATGGGATTATGAGATCAGAGCCCTTCAACAAAAGGACAATGGGAGTAAGGAAATAAGGAAGAAAGGTTTCAAACCACTAACCAGTATCAGTATTAGCTCTGAGCTGGGAATCTGTTTTGTAAAAGCTTCAATCACAGGAGAGTTTTAGAGTTGAATATCAGTTATGTAAAGTATTCATTTCATGTAGTATAATCCAACATTTAGTAACATAATCCTGTCCAAAACAGATTGGAAGGACAAAGGAAGAGGTCATTAGTTTTGGAAATCTAAGTCTCCATATTCTTTTTATTTTTTTAATATAATTTACTGTCAAGTTGACTAACATACAGTGTATACAGTGTGCTCTTGGTTTTGGGGGTAGATTCCCATGGTTCATCGCTTACATACGACACCCAGTGCTCATCCTAACAAGTGCCCTCCTCAATGCCCATCACCCATTTCCCCCTCTTCCCCCACCCCCCTTCAGTTTGTTCTCTGTATTTCAGAGTCTCTTATGGTTTGCCTCCCTCCCTCCCTTTTTTTTTTTTAATTTTTTTTTTCAACGTTTATTTATTTTTGGGACAGAGAGAGACAGAGCATGAACGGGGGAGGGGCAGAGAGAGAGGGAGACACAGAATCAGAAACAGGCTCCAGGCTCTGAGCCATCAGCCCAGAGCCTGACGCGGGGCTCGAACTCACGGACCGCGAGATCGTGACCTGGCTGAAGTCGGATGCTTAACCGACTGCGCCACCCAGGCGCCCCAACCTCCCTCCCTTTCTATTCCTATTTTTTCCCCTTCCCTTCCCCCATGGTCTTCTGTTAAGTTTCTCAAGTTCCACATATGAATGAAAACATAGGATATCTGTCTTTCTCTGACTTATTTCACTTAGCATAATATCCTCCAGTTCCATCCATACTCTTTTAGAAGCAGCAAAGCAAAATGCATACATATGTGGAAATGGAAGACAGGGTCAAAGTGAGCCGGCTGGAGACGGCACTGCAGGGCACTGAGGTCCAGTATGGCCAACGTCAGGAGAAGATCTCAGACTTTCCTTCCTGACCAAGACAAATTATACCTAGACCACACCTGGCAGATAAGCATCCGTCATGAGTTCATAAAAGCTATGTATTTATGTTTTGGGTTTTTTTTTTTTTCATTTTTTAATAATCTCTATACCCAGTATGGGGCTCAAACTCACACCCCAAGATCATGAGTCTCATGCTCTACCAACTGAGCCAGCGAGTTGCCCCAAAGCCATGTATTTTGAACAATGATACTATACAATAAAACCAAATCATCACAAGGGGCATGAAGTTTTTAAAAAGTTGGGACTGGACCCCAGTTCAGTGTAGACTTGTGAGGTTTTCACCTGCAGGACACTCACACTCTCCACTCTGCTCTGGCATGCTCTCAAGTCAACGGAGACATCATAAAAAGCTATGGTTCCATACCAAATATCCTCCGCTACTTTTAAGACTTATTATAGAGTTGAGAAACTGGGAATGTGGAGTTACGGGGAAGAGCTGGCTGAAAGAAATGTATATGGCTTTTGCAATGGAGATTTGCCCACATCGAAAGGAAGTGAAGTGTTTGAGTATTTTCTTAAGATTTTATTTTTTTAAGTAATCTCTACACTCAACATCTATCATGAGTTCATAAGTCATGTACTTATTTTTTCTTTAAAGATTTTTATTTTTAAGTAATCTTTGTACCCAACATGGAGCTTGAGCTCATAACCCCGAGGTCAAGAGTTGCACGTTCCACTGACCCAACCAGCCAGGTGCCCCTCAAGTGTTTGTTCAGTGTAACAGAATCATAGAAATGTAGGGTGCGCCTGGGTGGCTCAGTCCATTAAGCGTCCAACTCTTGATTTCGGCTCAGGTCATGATCTTATGGTTTGTGGGTTTAAGCCTAGTATTGGCTCTGCACTGACTGCTCTCTGCTCTGCACTGACAGTGAGGAGCCTGCTTGGGATTCTCTCTCCCCCACCTCTCTCTCTCTGCCCCTCTCTTGCTCACACGCGCTCTCAAAAATAAATAAACTTTTAAAAATCTGAAAAAGAAAAAAATAATCACAGAAACGCACTGCAGGATTTTTAAAAATGACTTTGTTTTGAACTTCAGTACAAAAACATTATAGATATTACATTTTCTAAGTTTTGAACTATTTTCTTTTGGAGGGTGGAAGGAGGCAGATATTGGAGGGGTCAATAACAAAAATTACTTTTAAAAACTTACTCTAATGATGATATTTGTTTCTCTCAAGATACACTGCACTTGGGGCGCCTGGGTAGCTCAGTCGGTTGGTTAGGTGTCCAACTCTTGATTTTGGCTCAGGTCATGATATCACGGTTCGTGGTATCGAACCGTGCCCACAATGGGCACCATGCTCCTAGCATGAGGCCTGCTTGGCATTCTCTCTCTCTCTCTCTCTCTCTCTCTCACCTGATGTCTCTGCCCCTCCCCAGCTTGTAGTTTCTCAAAATAAATAAATAAGCTGTTTAAAAAAGACTCACTGTACTTTATTTTTATGACATACTGTACTTTAAATGTCTATTGTTGGCCAACTGTTACACCTTTCGATTGTTTCTATCGTCTATGAGAGGGGATCCTATGACAGTGCTTACAAGATTTCCAAATGCTAGATAATTCCTTCAATCCACATTAGTAAATGTCCCTTTAGGAATGTTAGCCTCTTATAAATTTAGTAGAGAACGTTTATTTATACAAATAGTTCTGCCATAAAAAGTAAAAGTGAAAACATTCTTCTAGAGAAATAAGAGTTTATCTTTCAAAGTATGACAGGTATGATCCAACATAACATTATGTCCTATCTTTTAAAAGAATATTCTCCATTTAGACAGAATGGTTGCTTTAGACATAAACTAGACCTCTAGCCTAAACAAATTCATGACACCGCCACTAAATCTGATACTTGTGAGACAGAAGATGGTAGCAGACAGATTCAAGCAAGAGAACAGAAAACTGTATCTTCCATGGTGTCCCAAAATGCTCAACCACAGCTGAAGTTTGCATACAAATTCTGTTAACCACATAGTCTTTGATAGATGTGGTATTAATTCTACAGTGAGGGTTTCATTCATCAGAGATTATGTAATGCATTTAATAAGTTGGAATCAGCATTAATTTAACATAAATGGAAGTATCATTTACTGTAAGGATGAATATTCCTTTTGTGAAACTGGTTTAATTTTACTATTTTTCTTCTGAGAGAGAGAGAGAGACTGCATGTGTGCACACAAGCAGGGGAGGGGCAGAGAGAGAGAAAGAGAATCTCAAGCAGGCTCCACACCCAGTGTGCAGCCTGACACAGGGCTCCATCCCAGGACCATGAGATCCTCATCTGAGCTGAAATCAAGAGTTGGACGCTTAACCAACTGAGCCACCGAAGGCGCCCCTGGTTTTAATTTTAAACACACAAATATACCTATTTGCATACTAAGTCATGGTGGTAAATATGTTTACTAAGGGTTTGAAAAATATTGCCTCTGTAGAATACAAATATTAATTCTTTCCCTGAAAATTTCAGATCCAAAGACAGTAACATGTATAATTAATGTCTTAAGAAAATATACATTTGGTTTGTCCTGATGAGTCTTAATTAGAGGCAGGTGCTCTGATTCTTTAGTGTAATTAACTGCTGCTAATAATAAAATTGAGCATTATGCTAAACCAGGGACTTCTTAGACAATTTACAGAAATTATGTTATTTCTCTCTCAATACACCTCTAAGGTACAAATTATTCTAACTTTACCCAGTAGAAAACCCCTTCCAGGAGGTATAACAGGTTCCCCGGGGTCTCACAGATAGGAAGCAGAAAAGTTGTGATAAATCCCATTACCCGGCTGTAGACCTTAGTTGAGTTACTCTCCACATAGAATTGGAAAATATTTGTTTAAAATGACTATTTCTGGGATTAGCTCATTGGTCCCATTTGGAAAGTCTCAGATGAGGTAACCCCATGCAGAGAACACAGACATTAGAGAATGCCGAAGTGGGCATGTCATGAGTTTCATGGATGGCAAGCAGCGGAAAGTGACTATACTTCTTGGTGCAGGAAGTTCCCGGAGCATGTTCAATTGTCACATTACAAAAAGTAATGTCCAGGCAGATTTCTTTAGCAGCTCAGGACTCACATGTTTTACGTTGTTCATCATTCTAGTTGGTCAAAGTTCCTGCTAGCAGAATGAAGAGAACTTTACTCAGAATTCTAGCCTAACTGATATCTGGTTGGAGCTGTGGACCATTGTTTAAAAAAATTTTTTTTAGGTTTATTTATTTTTGAAAGACAGAGACACAGCACAAGCAGGAGTGGGGCAGAGAGAGAGCGGGACACAGAATCCGAAGCAGGCTCCAGGCTCTGAGCTGTCAGCACAGAGCTCGAAGTGGGGCTCGAACTCACGAACGGTGAGATCATGACCTGAGCCGAAGCCGGACACTCAACTGACTCAGCCACCCAGGCGCCCCAATATGTGGACCATTGTTTTAAAAAGAACTTAAGTCTTCATGGAATTTAGCAAATTTTGCCAGGTGCTGCCCTTCCCCCCCCCAAATCAGATCTACCTACACAGCCAAGCAGAGACACATTCCAAATATCTAATATACCACACTTAAAATTCAAAGCTCAAAACAAGTAGCTCGTATGAAGAAGTGCACATGAAATTATATCCTACCCTTTGGTGAGTCTGCTTTCTGAGAGAATTTCTGGGTAATTTTATGGGGAAACACAAATGTGGTGTGACAACAGGAAAAGAGCATTTTCTTTTCCTATTTTCTCAACAGTGAAAAGTCACACTGAAATCCTATTAAAATGGCACAAAGAGTGGCTCAAATTCTGTCAGGCAAACCTAAGACCTTTCCTAATTTCCGAATCTCAAGTTTCCATAAACTTTGTTGTACATTACTTTTATGCCAACATTAAGATTCCCTCCCAAAGAATATGTAAGGAAACATGGCTGCTTAATGTTATATTAGAAAATTGATAGATAATTTACCATTCCAATACATTTTCTTAGGATGCTCCAGATACTGAAGTCATTTCTGGAAAACATAGGGGAGGGCAGGCTTGTTCTGAAAGAAGAAAAGAAAAATAAACATTTAATTTTAATGCCATTGTCACTAGGAGGGGAAAGCTATTGCCATTAATATGAACACCACAGGCATGCATGTATGGACACCTTAAAAATGTGTACAACAGGGTCTGCCAGAAGCTATACCCCAATCACTGCTATGCTGGCCCCTGAGAAGTGTCACAACAGACCCGCTGGCCCTGTGCCTTTGCTGTCATTCTGATCCTAGGATTCTAGCTCTCCCTGCTGGTGTCCAGCTTTCTGCACCACCTCACAGGTACACCTTCCTTTCACGTGCTAGCACAGCAGACTCTGTCGTTTGATCCTAGACATACCTACCACTTCTGGATACTTCATACATGATTTTACTCTAGCTGCTGAATAATGTAAACAAAACGCCATCACAGGGCCTAAAGGTTTTTAAGAAACTAAATGGAAAAATGCAAATGAATTATAAAGCCGAAGTAAAATTTAGGCCTGGCTTCATATGTTAGCACCAAAGACACTGATGTGAACAAAATTTAGCCCCTCTGGATAAGACAGGAACCCCCTTGCAAATTAAGCTCTACAGAAGGAGCACTTTCAAAAGCCTCTGCAGGGGTTTCAAGGTAGCCAGAAGGCTGGTGGATGTCAGTGGCAGAGGGGCCTGGGTAAGCCACATGTCAGGGCTCAGGCATCCAGACCCGGCTGGTCAGAAGCTGACCCCCCTTCCAAAAATCACAGTGGCAGCACTACTGGGGGCAGCGGGCAGAGATGCCAGGCCAACTTCCTAAAACTGTTAATACATTTTTTTTCAGTTATCTTAGATTATGGCAAGGGATGCGGGTTTAGCAATTGCTGCTTAGAATATACCTACGTAACTGAAACATTAAAATCGTAAACAAAACAATTTATCTTCTAAAGAACTTTTATTCTACAAACTAATTTGAATTACAGAAGTTAACATAAAGTTTTAAAATGAATAATATTTTTAAATCCTCCACGGTGAAATTCTTCTGACTTCTTTTTCTTTTTTAGAAACACACACTGCTCATTTGGCAGATTTCTCATCTAACCAATCTGCTGGATAAGTAGCCACAGATGGTATTTAAATCACATTCTCCACCATCCAGGACCATGAATCTCTGTAACATGAACAATGGAACCTAGGGACAGCATCCCAGCCATCATCTACCATTAGCACATTCACAGTGCAGTTTTAGAGATTTGTACAGTTGACCCCTGAACATTGGTTTGAGCTGCATGGGTCCACTTACATGGGGTTTTTTTTTTTTTAATACAGTACCATAAATGTATTTTCTTATGATTTTCTAAAATCTCACTTTATTGTAACATATAGTATATAATACATATGACATACAAAATGAGTGTTAATTGGCTGTTTATGTTATTGGTAAGTCTTCCAGTCAACAGTAGGCTACTAGCAGTTAAGTTTTTGAGGGTTCAAAAATTATATATGGACTTTCGACTGCCCAGGAGGTGAACTGTTCAAGGGTCAACTATATAACGTTTCTATCTTTTGTCTGTGAAAAAGTCAGCCATAAATGGAACAGATGCTAGGAAGTTTCAGCCTGAAATACGCTTTGTGAAGACTGAATGAGGGGCTGTAATTCCTCCCAACCAATGCCTACACTGAGAGCACAGGTATGTATCACTATTCTGATTAAAAGCAAGAAAAGCAAGAAATACTCTGGAAACAAGATGATAAAAGACATCCAAAGGTTTTTTGTTTTTCTGTTTTTTTTTTTTAAATTTTCGATTTAGAAATTACAGGACTGCCAGCCAAGAATCCCACCTGAGAATATCCCACATTCATTTTTATGCACTTATCTCATTATGTTGTTTTAGGAAAATGTAGTAGTTATTCATTCATCAGGAGGCCAGATTATCTGCAACATTATCTATTCCAGAACCCAACCAGAAAGCAGAGCTAAAATGGACTGTGAAAGGCAACAGGCCATCATAAAGTCCATGCTGTTTTCTTGTGTAAGACTGCAAAAGCAAACTCCCTTAGATCATACTGTGTGCAGTAAGTTGATCAAAAACATCAAGAGAAACACTGGCCTCCAAGACAAGTACACAACGTGGAAGCTGTAGCACAGTAAAAGACCTCAGGGTTGTTGACCGTAATCTGAGTCAAGAGCATGATGCTCCTGCCAAAGAGGCAGGTGCAATCTCAGATTGCCAAAAGGAGAACAGCAGCTAGAACATTCCCAAAGGGCAACCCTGCAATGATCAGACCAGAGCCAGGATTCAAATCCATGTGCCACTTTTAAAGGGAACCTGAACACCTGAGTTCAGGAAGACTTACCAGAGGCTAAGCAAATGTGTCTGGAAAACATTTCTTATAAGAAATGGATGAAAGAAATGTGCAGTCCAGAACAAACAAAAGAAACTGGAGGTCTGGGGAACAGTAGGCATGACAGAGGTCTTGGAGCAGTAGGGGACGGGGCCAGGAGCAACAGCATCCCCATAACCACACCCTGCCCCACTCAACAAGAGCACTCCCTACGCACCTTTGCTTGCTTCGGTATTCTCCACAGCACTGACCAACACACAACATACTACTGTAGGCTCTCAAGTATTAACCACTTTCCCCAAAATGGTCTAAGAGCTTCTGGAGAGCTCACGTTTCATCTACTGCTGTATCCCTGTTGCCCATGACAGTGCCTAACACAAAGGAGGAGTTGAAGTATTTGATGAATCAACTTTAGAATGTATAAGGCCTTTTAGCATGCATTATCTCTTTCATAAACAATTTGGTTTATTCTGTGCTACTCAAGTAGGACTAGGACCACTGGGAGAAGTTACAGGATCCTGATAGAAAGGTCTTATAATTCATTCCAAATACGAGAAACATGAGATTCTTATTAGTAAAGGTTTCAAACAGAGGCTGAATGAGCCCTTTCTGTCATGGCCTGAAAGGCATTCCTGCACTGGGTGGGAAGCTGATCTAGAACAGCTAGGCCAGGGATGTCACTCAACACCCAATAAAGAACATTATGGGCCCTCACACAAAGAACTACCCAGCCCCAAATGTTAGTGATGCCAAAGCTGAGAAACCTCCCACAGAAATATGAAAGCTTCATATAGAAATTTAAATTTTGCAGTGGCTATATTAAAAAGAGAGCAAGATAAATTCATTTCAATAATATATTTTATTTGGAAATGATGTCAGCATCATGGTGCCATGAGTCATTCGTCTTCTCTCCCCTCTGATTTACCACTAATTGGACATACATATCCTGGGAGAGAAAAAAAAAACCCACAGCGCCTCTGCACAGCATAGCAAGATGCCCGAGAAATCCGCCTGTGTACCCTAGAGGGGGTGGACTGGCCCGTGGAAGAGGCGGCAGACCTGGCAGCAGCCGACAGCAACGGCAGAGAAGGCAGCAGCTGGTCCTGTGGTGAGCCAGCACACAACCTTTCTGTCAGAGGAAGTGAAGTGGAGGGAGGGTTACGGCGGGGGGGGGGGGGGGGGGGGGGGGAGTCTGCCTGCAAAAAGGTGAGCTGGAGGGACCAGGCCCCCTGAGGAGAGACCCCTGAAGGAAAGCATCTGCTGTCTGCCCCATGAGGCAAGAGACTGACCCAAAAACCTCTGGAATCCCCTCCCACTTGAAGTTCCCTTGACCCAGCCATGGGTACAACCAAAGCCCCAAGTGCTAAGTACACACCTCCCTCCGCTTTTTTTTTCATACTCCCCACCCTTAGCAGGGAAGTCAGCTCTGGTAACAAAAACCAAAAGGTTGTGCTATAGCCCCATCTTCTGGAAAACAAAAGGATAACCCTTGTTCAACCTGTTGATCTGTTAGAATTAAAGCAAAGGAAACCTTGGCTAAATAAGAAAGGTGTTCACTACTTCAAATGTGGAGGCAGGGGCACTTCTTATCAAATACCGTGAAAAATCAATAATATAAAAATCTATAATGACAATTTTCCACCAATGGAACCCAAAGACATGGAACACTGCAATCTAACTGATAATTTAAAATAGCAGTTATGACGAAATTCAATGAGCTACAAGAAAACCCCAAATGGCAATATAATGATCTCGGAAAAAAATTAACGAATAGAAGTGTTTTACCAGAGAGACTGAAATTCTAAAAAAAAGAAATAAACAGAAATTCTGTAACTGAAGGACTCAGTAAATGAGATGAAGAACGCACTGGGAACAGAGCAGATCTTACGGAAGAGAGAATTAGCAAGCTTGAGGAGAGAAATACAGAAATGATTCAGGTGGAAGGAGAGAATGAAGAGTTTAAAAAGTGAAAGCACCCTATGAGAACTATCTGATGCCATTAAAATGCCAATAGAAGAATAACAGGTATGTTGGAAGGAGAAGAGAGGGAAAAGCGAACAGAGAACCTATTTAAAGAAATAAATAGTTGAGAACTTCCCAAACCTGAGGAAGCAACTGAATACGTATGTCCACAAAGCTAACAAAACACCTTATTACCTCAAGGCATAAAGACCTTCTCTAAGACACATTATATTACAACTGTAAAAGTCAATAATAATGAATGAATTTGAAAGGCAAGGGGGGTGGGGGATGGGGGAGACAGTAACCTACAAAGGTACTCCCAGTAGGCTATTAGCAGATTTCTCAGGGGAAACTCTACAGGCCATGAGAGAGTAGAATGACATATTCAAAAACTGCCAGCCAAGAATATTCCACCTGGCAAAGCTACCATTCAGATATGAAGGAGAAGTAAAGGCTTTCCCAAACAAACAAAAGCTAAAGGAGTTCACCACTAGACCTGCCTTAAGAAGAAATGTTGAAAGAGACACTTCAAACATAAACGAAAAGATGAAAGTACACAAAATTCAATCTGATTAACCAGGCAAGTAATAATACAGTAACTCTTTTTTTTTTTGGAAATACCATATTAAACTTAATTATAGCATACAAGAAAAGAGCATTAAGAGTAACTAAAGCTACTACAACTTGGTAACAAAATCATAGCATGCAAAGAGAGTAATCTGTAACAATAAAGGATAAAA